ACATGACCTGTGTTTTTCTAGAACTCAGTGGGCAGATTTTTAAGGTCAATGCTTGTGCTTCTACTGTCTAAGTTTAGCCTGGCATTTTATTTTATTCTTGTAAACCTTTGTATTTTTATTTATGTGTGAGTGTGTGTAGGATAGTGTGCATGGCACATGAGTGCAGTTCCCACGGAGCCCAAAAGAAGGCCTTGGGTCCCCTGGAGCTGGAGTTGCAAGCAGTTGTGAGTTGCCCAATGTAGGTGCTAGGGAATGGAACTCTTCACCAAGGAGCCATTTCTCCAGCCAAAGCTGCCCTGGCATTTCAATAGGAAAGACAGTGTTTGTCAGTCTGTAGAACAATGACCAGTGAGCAGTTAATTCTGATAAAGGAAATAATAAGAATTAATCTCATATGGCTTTCCAAATGTATAGAAATTAAGATCTAAGAAAACATGGTAAAAAATCCAGTAAGTTCTTAGTATTTTATTTAAAGTGGTGCAGTTACTTATTTTGTAAAACAAAAGGACTGAGTCTATTTCAGGATGGACATGACACATATATCCCTGTCTCCTATTATATTAGAGTAAAATGACTTAGTTATTGTCCTGTACATTTTTTTCAGAATGCCTATATTTCAAAGTGATCAATGTTCTCACTTTTTAAAAGTTATTTTTGTAATCTATTATCCACCCATCCATTGCTACTTCTTTAGTATTGGCTTCAAACCATATGCTTTGTATCTCAACTCACCATTAAGAAATTCATCTCAAATACTAAACAAGCCCAGCTTTGCTCCCAGGGAATGACTTAAAACAGAGGTGAGTTGGCCCAGTGAGGAGACATGCTTGCCACGTAGGACCTGAGTTCAAGTCCCAAAACCAACATGGTGGAAGGAGAGATATTACTCCAGAAAGTTGATCTCTGAGCTACATACAAACACACACACACACACACAGACACAGACACACACACACACACACACACACACATGCACGCACACGCATGCACACACACATGCACATACTCTCATGTGTACACACACATGCAGGCACACACAAACATACACATACGTCCACATAAGCACACATTCATTAAAATAAACATAGTATGAAGTTTTGGATGATGTATTGTTAAAAACCAATCTGTTTCATGTAAGACTTGCAGAGTAGCACCTGTGGCCCAGTATGTAACCTGTTTCCTTCCTGACTCCAAGTGGAGACAACCCGGCCTCCAGTACTGAGGCCAAGCTAGTTCCAATGGAGTTGCAAGCCCACATACACATGCTTATCATGCGAGAGTCTCGGTTAACTCTTCGGCAGACAATCAAAATCGTGGCCTAAGGGTGTCCATCCTTAACAGCCCTTTCTTAGTTAGGATTCTCTATTGCTGTGAAGAGACATTAGGTCCAAGGCAACTCTTACAAAGAACCGTTTAACTGGGTGGCTTGCTTACAGTCAGAGGGTCAGTCCATTATCACTATAACAGGGAGCACGGTGGCGTGCAGGCAGAGATGGTGCTGGAGTTGAGAGTGCAGCATCAACAGGAAGCCATCTGACTGTCACACTGAGTGAAGCTTGAGAAAAGAGACCTCAAAGCTGGCCAGAATGGAAGCACACTTCCTCCAACAAGACCACACTTATTCCAACAAGGCCACACCTCCTAATGATGCTACTCCCTTTGGAGGGCCATCTTCTTACAAACCCCCACAAGCCTGAACTATTAATGCAGAGACATGAGAGGCAGCATTTCAAAGCCCTTGCCACCCTCTTGTCATTAAAATTTACTTAAAAGTGGGACATAGCTCAGTGGAGGAACACTTAGCACACCTAAAGCCCCACTCTTTATGTCTAGCATGGCAGAGAAGACAAACACCTACAAAAATATCTATAAAGAATTTTATAACGGAAGCTAGGAAGCCTAAGCTCCACCTCTCATTCTATAGATGGAGAAACTAAGCCTGTTTGTGTTAATTTCACTCAAATCTTGCAGCTCTGCTCCTAATCTTTCTTTAAGTATTACTCAAATGTTTTTATGACATTTGAGGCTTGCATTTCCTGTGTAAGGGAGCTGAATGAATTGCATCCTCCTTAAGTAGTTACATGGTTTGACTGCCAGGGTTACTATACCATTTGATAGAAAAATATAGCTCATCTAGGACATACAATTTGGATCCTTCTAGAAAGGTCTATGAAGGTTATCTTGAAGATATTATTTGAAATGTATTGAAAATCCTATTTGGTATATTTCCATCTTGTGGCCTAGTGTAAGCATCCTAACATCAACAGTAGTCATTTGGTGGCTATGCACACAATTATTCAAATTCTATCAAATGCATCCTAGGTAGGCTAGGCTGCCTCTGCAATGCTGGCTGTGATCGCACATTCCCCCCTGCTTCCCTTATGAAAACAATCATAGAACTCTGCAGGGAAGTCAAAAGATCCTGACTGTCATCATGTGTAAAGGCTAAGGAGGTTCCAGGAGCAGCGACAGAGGGAAAGACAGGGCTCAGCATTGTACAAAAGTGCAAGGATGAGTCTCTGTGCCCTGTTAAGTCAGATGCCTGTTGCTGTAAGATATCTCACGACCTGAAGAAATCAGGCCAGGTCTTCCCCTGGGACAGAGAACTGAGAAGCCGTTCAGTGCTATGGTTTCGCAGCCTCCAACTTTTGGTTCAGCTCTTTACTTGACTTCTCCCTTCTCTTTTTCACGTAGGCTAGCCTAGTCTAAATCACATGGCACAGACCTCCCAGCTGGCCCCTGAGAACTTCTAAAAGTCAGATATAGTCTTTGTTTTGGGGCCATCTCTGACCCTCTCCTTTCTGGTCATGATCCCTGGGGATCAATGGTCAGTCAACCTAGGCAAATTGGTTTTAGGCTAGTGGGAGACACTCAACAAACCAGTTGGAGGGCTCCTGAGTAAATTTTTTTCCTTTGTATCTGATAGACATGCATCATACATACATACGCATGTGCAAACATACACAGAGGCATATGTGCATTTGAACATCACAAACACACATACATATATGTACATGGGTGTCATACACACACACACAAATACAGAGGAATATCTGCCCATGAACACCTCTTTCCTTCCCTCCCTCCCTCCCTCTCTCCCTCTCTCTCTCTCTCTCTCTCTCTCTCTCTCTCTCTCTCTCTCACACACACACACACACACACATATGCACACATACAAACAGAGGCATGCACATAGGTGTACAACACACATAAACGTGTATACGTGAACTTCACATACATGAACAGAGAGAACAAAGCTGAATGAGAAGCAGTCTTTCCATGTTCAGTTCCCGACTTTGCTTCTGGTTGGCTGTGCTACTTCGAAATTTCTGTTTTCCCTATTTTTCTTCCAAATTCAGTCTTTAAAATTATGCTAATAGTACTACTTCAGAGGATTGTTAAATGGAGTTAATCATATATTCTCTTTCTATCAACCTAAGACCTGTGGATATTATTTATATATATATCTACAAGCAGATATTAGTTCTTTTCTTAGATACTATGGTACTCCCACATGAATTGAATTGAAATTTATTATCATAATTTCCCCTTATTATTAAATTTGTATTTTGAGAGAGAAAGAGAGAGGGGGTAGAAACACACACACACATACACACACACACACACACACACACACAGAGAGAGAGAGAAAGAGAGGGAGACAGAGAGAGAGAGAGGCAGGGAGAATTAAAATTTTAAAAGTTTAGGATAGGTAATACCTCAGTAGTTAAGAGCACTTACTGTTCTTGTGGAGGACCTGGGTTTGGTCCCCAGCACCTACATGAGAGCTCACTGTCATCTACAATTCCAGTTCTAAGGTATCTGACTCCTTCTGACTTCTGAGGGTATTTCATGCATGCAGTAGACATTTGTATATATGCATACACTTGAGCACACATACATATACATTAAATAAATAAATACATGTAGGCAGACTTTTCTGTCCCATTAGCCAATTCCAAATAACCACACAGAGACTTAATGTTAATTATAAATACTCAGTCAATATCTGTGCTTGTCTCCAGACAGCTCTCACGATGTTACCTATTTCTACTAATGTATGTGCTGCCAGGAGGCTTGCTTACCTCATCTATGAATTTCTCAGGTTGCTTCTTTGGTGTCTGCCTCCCAATCTGCAAGATTTTGCCCCTTTTCCTTCAGTGTCCTCGGTCTGATTGTCCCACCTAGACCTCCTGCCTAGCTACCAGCCAGTCAGCTCTATTATTAAACCAACCAGAAGGTGTCTTGGCAAAGACACATCTTCACAGTGTACAAAAAAAAAAAAGATTATTCCTTAACACATACAAATATGGCTGAAACTTAGAAAGTGTCAACTCACAGACTTCATCCACTGAGACATCTCCCTGGGTGTCTTTCCAGCATTTAATGTAACATTATCCACTGAGTTTTCACTCATTAGAGCATCTACACAGAACCCGTAATAAGGTTATTTCATAAGACCCTGGGTGGAGAGGCACTTTAAGGGAAAGTGTCTTGTAAACAATTAGCTTGGAAAACAGAACACACCTGGCTCCCCTCCTTCCCTTCATGGTCTTACACTGAGTTAGATACAGGAAGGGAGCGACAGCAGTTGGTTCTGGAAAGGAACCGACACATAAGAGACACTCAGGAAGTAGCTCTATTGGGAGAGAGTGCTTCGAGATCGTGACGGGGCTTGGCAAGGGAGAGGCTTAGAAAGAAATGATATAGTATATTATAAACAGCCTCACAGAGCATATCAGTACATGCCATGATGGCCCTGCAAGTGTGAAAGCCCGAGTTCGGGTCCCAGCTCCCACATATAAAATCAGGCATTTCTGTAATGTGAATGTTTCTGTCCCGGAATGGTCTTGCTACCCTTCTCTACCTCAAAGAAACACCCAGACGCTATACAGTTATAAAGCTGTTGGCCATCGGCTATGGCTTCTTATTGGCTAGTTCTGTCTGAATTATTAACCCATTTCTAATAATCTAAATATTTCCACGTGGTCTTCTCTTACCAGAGAAAGGGTCTGGACCTGTTACTCCTCTCACGTACAACATGGTGACTGACTCTGCCTACATTTCCCAGAATCCTCTACTTCTCCTAGTCCCACCTATCTTGCTTCCCTGTTGGCCAACAGCGCTTTCTTCATTAACCAATAAGAGAAACATATTTACAGAATGACATCTCCAATCACACATGCATGACTTTAACTCTAACACTGTGGGACACGGTGCCGGTGCGGTGTGTGATGGGCAACCACTATAGCCAAAATGGCTAGTCCCAGGATCAGAGAGAACTAGAGGCTGAGAAATGATTGAGGGAAGACACCCCAATGTCAAACCCTGACTTCTACACGCTCCTTCACTTGGGCCCGCTCACTCTCACACAGATGCACACACAGGCACACACTCACCCTGGGAAGAAATAGTGTAACAAATGTTCCTTAGTTAAAGAAGTTCTCCTTGGGGAGAATATTTGAGATCTCTGTGTCAGGAAACAAAGGCAGAGGACAGGAGGCAATAGATGCCTACTGGGTGATAGACATAGCTTCCTGTTAAGAGACCCTGACTCTTAGCCTTTCCTGTGAGTCACAGATGCGGACTGCAGAGCCATGGTGATACTGTCCCCAACAGATGGGAAGCTATGCAAATGAGTTTTGAATTATCAGCAATTACAAGCAGCTCTCTTATTGGTCACCAGCCAGATGCTTACATTTGGAGAGAGGAGGCAGGGAGGGAGAATGAAAATCAAAATGAAATTATAGGACGCTTGCTGATGTGCTACGCAGCTGCTCTCTTTCCCATCAGCCATTTCTAGAGTCTTCGGGACTTTCCCTAAGCAAAGAGGTATTCTCCTGTATGCATGGGGACTTAACAGCCCTGTGGTAGCGAGCTGTAGCTTGAACGGGCTTTCTGGTCTGGATTGATACATTTGGAGTGGTCTTTTCGTGCCTTCACATCTGTTCTCACTTGTGGCCAGAAACGAGAATTAATGGAGGGTTGGCTCCAATAAGGGTTTGGCCATGGACCATAAGCCAAATTGAAATTGACTGGCTCCTATGAGGCTCCATCAAACCCCCATAATCTTGTCAGAATTACAAGCTAACTAGCTCCATGCACTGACACAGATAAGGCTCACTCTTCATAGAATCCAGGATCACCCATAGGAGCATTCATCAGATGGATGAGGTGACTAGCCCTACAGTCCTTACATACAGTTGATATGGGTGAAAATTTGGGGCTATCATTAGTTTTTCTTATTTCTGCTAGCATTTACACAAGCATTTCCTATACGTTACTGCAATTCATTCTCTAACTAGGTCATGGCGTTAATTCATTTTCCTGATTAAGTACTTCAGAGGGTCACAGAGCTAGTGAAGTGGAGCAACACATGCCCAGAGTTTGCCTGCCTTTGCTCTTTTATGGCCAGTAGTTCCTTCAACCCAGAGATTCTGCAGTCAAGTTGACAGTAGTTCCTTCAACCCAGAGTATTTGCAGTCAAGTTGACAGGTTTAATTATTATTCTTTGGGGTATTTGTGTGTGTGTGCCTGTGTGAGAACAACCTGGGGTTGTTTTTCTTCAGTAGTTCTATATCTTGACAGGGTCTCTCCTTGCCCTGGAGCTCACTGATTATGTCCACCTGGTGGGTCAGCAAGTCCCAGAGACCTGCCCGCATGTCCCTTTCCATGGCTTATATCACAGCTACATGCTATCATGCCTGGGTTGTTTTCACATGGGATCTGAAGATCATACTTTGGTGCTTGTGAGGCAAGTACTTACTGAGTTATGGCCCCAGCCCTTCTTTAAGGGTCCTCTTCGTGAAACAACATTTGGCTTTGGTTTACAGACCAGCGCCCTAGAGCACACTCAGGCATCTACACTTAGATGTCAGTATCATCAATACACTTTCTACACAGGTCTGTGCGTGTATGCATATATTCCAGCATGATGAATTCTCATGCGTATAAGCCTACAATACAACACAACACAACACAGCAACAGAACATTGTAGAATATTTTTTTCCTTCCCCAGTTGCCTCACTCACTTCCTAGCAAACACCACTCCCTCCTCACCCCTCCCATCACCCCAATGTAATATATACCCAGGTGGATACTTGGGTAGGGACTATCATGAGGACTCTTGCCCCTGACTTAGTGCTCTGTGGAGTGTGTCCTCATGAGTACAAGTGTTGGGTCATACGCCCCAGGTTATGGTTTCAAAAAAAAATATCACTTGAATGGCTGTGTAAAGACAGCAGGCCAGATGAGGAAAGCGGTGTGCCACAGTACTTGTGGTTGTGGACAGGAATTGGGAGGGTTGCTTGGCTGGAAGATAGGGCCAAGAGGTGATTTCCTAATTCTCTTGAAGAATATAAAGGGTGATTTCAAGCAAGAAAGGAGCACACTATCAATTTATACAAAGTACAAGATGAGAGAAAATGGGATTAAATTTCAACAAAAGAGTGCTTAGCCAAGGCATTATCATAATTAACATAGAAATAGGCTGCAGTCCCCAGGGTGTCTTCCTCAGGCAGACTCTCTCCTTGGTAAAAGGTAGGAAGGTTTGGAAGGAAGCAAACTTTTCTTGTTATCTCAGGAGTCCTTCTTCTGGATGTGTTTTATGGAAAAATGTGATTTTTCTTACTAATATGTCACATATATACACATATGTACTAAATGCAAGCACACAAACACAGGGGCACACATTTCCATGTATAAGCATGCAAATACATCAACTCCTGCACACATATATGTACTAAATAAAATCTCATACTCAAATATATTTAATACACAAATGTGTAGTATATAAGCACATACTTATAAACACATGCCCATATGTAAACATGCACATAAAAAGTTGCACATACACATGTATATGTAATACATGAATATGTATTATATACACACATTCACACATGTGCATGCACACATAATGTATACATATGCATTACATATAAGCATATGCACACACATGTATATATAACACACATATATGCATACACACCTGCATGAAAACACACATACACATATGCTCATGTATAATCATGCCCATGAATAACACACATGCGCATGCATGAATATATGAATTATACATATATAAGCATGTACACATGCTCATATGTAAGTATACAGATGTATCCAAAAAACACTTATGCTCCTATGGAAAATGCACATTACATGATATACAGGCATACACACCATTGCAAGCACATATACACTCACAAATAAGTGTGTGTAGCATTCTAGGATTGAGAGGTCAGATCTATCTTCCCAGATTGAAATCAGCATAATTGTCTCCTAGGAATGTTAGATGCTATACCCAAGCCTCACCAACATGACTGCCTAAGCACTAAACAGGAACTAAACAAGGACAACAATTCAAGTGCTAAAATGGGGGTAGGGGTGCAGGGGAGGTCCATCAGGACTCAAACCTACACACAGAACTGCAGGTAACCAAAGGATTCTGAGAGTAGGAGAAATAGTCTTCCCCAGGAAAGAGCACACCTATTGGTTCTCCAAGACCAAATGGTCAGCCCTGAAAACATACGTATGAATAACACACAGACTGAGGAGTTTGCATTTAGGTATATATACATATAACCATGTAACAATAATTAATGGTAAAAGAAGCCATGAATTTGACAGAGGCAAGGAGGAGTACATGTGAGGGTTTGGAGGGAGGAAAGTAAAGGGGGAAATGATGTAACTGCAGTACAATTTGAATAAAGTAAAAGAAAGAAGTTTTGAAATTCAGGGTATCTATTGGACAATGTCCCAATACTGGAGGTTTTGATTTCTGCACATTGGAATTGTTGCCATAATTCAGTGAAGGACTGAAGTCCCCATCTTCAGGTTGTCATCTGATAGCTGGCCCAGCTTCCAGAGGCTTCCATATTTCTTGTTTGGTGTGACTTTCCCCCTCCTAAAAGCCAACAAGAGGAGTTAAGCCCTCCTCTAAGTGATCTCTGTCTTAGTCTTGATTATCTTGCACCCTCAAGGGCTCCTGTGATGAACCTAAGCCTGCCTGAATACTCTAGTGCAGTCTCAGCTCAGGCCTCAGTATCCTTGGCCATATAATCTGACATTTTTATAGGTTCTTGGAATTAGGGTCTGGATATCTTCAAGAGGACCGTTACTTATTAGCCATAGCTTAATCACATTCTTAGATCAGTTTATTTAGTAAGTATTAATGAATGCTTCATTAGAAATAAAGAATAGAGAGATAGATAAACCATGACCACAGTTACTTAGTGTCCCTCAGTGTAAAAACCAAGATTGTGTCTATAGGTAAATGTTGAATTCTTTGTCACCGTCGGTGTATCTGGCCAATGTGTGTGTGTGTGTGTGTGTGTGTGTGTGTGTGTGAGAGAGAGAGAGAGAGAGAGAGAGAGAGAGAGAGAGAGAGAGAGAGAACACATAGCAAGTGTTTATGTGTTTCCAATGCAAATCACAGGGTAAGGGTTCAAAAGTATTGTCAAATTCATACATTGTAAAAGATCTTGTCAACCAACTCATCTTCATGCCAGTGGTATTTTAGGTGCTTGGTAAACACAAGTAAATAACAAACAGAATCTATACTCAGCATAGCTTAGGTTTTCATGTGGCACTTTATATTCTAGGGAAGTGAACTATTTTTTATATTGCTGAATATATGAATGAAAAACACACTGATGACATATTACCAGGGATGTTGAGTGTCTTCACAGGGTGTTTGAATCTTACTTAATAGGCAATCAGCAGCCAGTGAAAGGTCTTAGGCACATGTGAATTATTAATATTTAGTTTTGTTAAGATTGTTTTTATTTTGTGTTATTTTTATTTTGTTTGTGACTGTGTGTGTCTGTGTCTGTCTATCTGTCTGTCTGCCATCTGTGTGGTGTGCCGTGCCTGCAGAGGCCAGAAGAGGGTATTGAGTTCAGTGGAGATGGAGTCACAAATGGTTTTGTGGAGCACAAATAATAAAAACCCAGAGATAAATATTGGGGCTAAAGCTGAAGATCAGAGAAGCAAAGTGGCCAGTCACCAGAGAACTGTCACCTCTACTAGTCACTGAA